ATTTGGTAAAGTAAATCCGTTGGGCATCTTTCTTCGCCTTTAGACAATAATTCTGATGCAAAAGAACCAAACGGGACAGGCAAAAAAAGAAGAAGAAAGAAACTGTTTTTTCTACACGTCAGTCTGGATGATGTCGTAGAGATGGATGAACATGTTCACCCAAATGTTTCTATTTGTGAGCCAATCAGAAAAGAAGTTGAACTGAAGCGGCTGGAGTTAAAGGTTTCAAAGCAGGTGAGCTGAAAATCAGCTGAATGTTTGAAATCCAACATCTGTGAGTGCAGACGGCTGATGAGTGAATTACTGTGTCATCAGCGTAGAAGTGAATAAACGTAGGATTCGTCAATAAACCCCACTGTTGCTGTGAGTACAGAGAGCTGGGCGTGGGCAGCAGCTCACTGAGAAGCAGTGACAGAAACAAACAGAAGGGGATGCAGCTTTCCTGCTAGACTTTTATTGTGAAACAGCATCAAGACCAACATCCTGAAATCAAACGTACATTCTAACGCGAGTCAGCCACCTGTCCACGTGCTTTTGGCAAAGTCAGGATTCTCTGGCAGCGAGCGTTAGACGCCAGCTTCAAGCTTCAGCAACCAGGAAGTGACACAACTGATGACACGCTCAAGTATTTTGTCAAGACTAGTGGGGCTCAAACCTGTGACCTCCCTCCGGTCTGTCCTGTCTGTCTGTGGCTAATCTGAACACGAGTGTCGCTATAGTGCAAAAAATAAACACGTTTGAAACGCTTCTTTTAAAAAAAGAGACATGATAACACAATATATTATTAACAACAATAATAATATTAATATACTTACTGACAATAATAATTATAACATAAAGAAGTGTTTGGTTCCAGCAGCCGAGCCAACTTGTTTCTTTCAAGTATCTCTCAACACACACACACACACACACACACGCATCACAAACGTATACTTCTAAATAAAGTACAAGAGTCTTCTTCTGTCTTCCTCCAACATTTTGAGAAAGTAAACATTTGGGGAGCCGACAAACGGACACAAATAAAATACAATAAGGTCTGAATACGTGAAACAAGTTGCATAGTTTTGAGATTTTTTTTCTTCTTTTGTCGCATTTTTTTCAGGCACCTCGTCTCTCCGAAGTCGGTTCTGCGGTGCTTGAACGTCTCAGCCACATAAATAAGCTTCGCTCCTCCGTTTGTAACAAAAATATATTAGAGATTTTTTTCTTCTCTTTTTCTGAAAGTGCCGTGGAGACTCTCTGAGTTCTGCTGGACGAGTCTGGAGCAGAGTTTTTACCCCAGAGGGCGACCTCGAGGGACGGACGGAGGCGAAGGATGAAACGCAGTCAATAAAAGTGACGTGATGATCCTAGAGTCAGCTTCCTCCCTCTCTGGGCTCAGAGGTGCTCCTCCTCTCCGGCTCAGGTTTGCGTCTACGAGCAGCCGCACTCCTCCACGATCATGTTCTGCACGTCCTTCTTGATGATCTTCTGCTCCTCGTTGTAGTACAGCATGGACATGGCTCGTAGGCGTGTTGGCACGCAGCACGACTTCACGTTCTGGAAGGGGCTGTAGCCTCTCATGCGGTAGTGGCTGATGACGGTGGAGTGGAAGGACAGCGTGGACCCGGTGATGCTCGCCACGTGGGAGGGGCATTCGCCCTCGCAATAGTTGGCGTGATAACCGCGTGGAGCGATTATCCAGTCGTTCCAGCCAATGTCTTTGAAGTCGACGTAGAACTGCCGTTTGCAGCAGACACGCACCTTCCCGTCACACTCCAGCCCGCGCTTCCTGCGCCGCTGCGAGTCGCTGCCGTCTCCCTGCCGGACCACGGCCATGAGGAAGGGCCGGTGGGACTGCTCCCGCTGGTTGTTGCGCTGCGATGTCTCAGCGCTGCCCGAGACCAGGACGATGGTGGCGCCGGTGTCGGCGCAGAGCGGGCAGGACACCGTGAGGCTCAGTGTCGTGCTTGTGGCGCTCTGCAGCAGGGCCTGCACGGCGGCCGACACCGGGAAGGTGTGCCAGCCGCTGCGGCGGGTGTCCACCGTCTTCTCTGACAGGAGGGTGTCGTCCTGCGGCAGAGACGGACGTCCGCCGGACGGGTGGTGCTGCTGGAAGAGGCGGATGGTGACTTTGGCTCGGCTGCGGTTGGTCTTGGCTAAACGGAGGAAGAGCCAGACGTTGGCCTGCTCCACCAGAGACAGATCGCCGCCTTCTTTGGAGAGGACGAAGTTCACCGTGCCCGGAACCTCACCTGAGACGGAGACAGATGGAGACGGACGGTTAGAAAGACTGTCATACCACCTACATTCAAACACACCAACCCGTCCATCCACCCCAACCTCAGTCACCTCAGTCACTTCGCGAGTCATGTGACCTTGACCAGTAGAGGGTGCGGTGACCTTTTGGACTGTTTCACTCACACAGCCGTGAACCCTTCCTAAATGTAGCATGCACACATTTTACAACACGTCAGCAGACACACACACACACACACACTGAGGACTCTGTGAGACACATGTGAGCTACACACAGCTGATTGGACTCTTCCTGCTGACTCGGCAGCAGCGGTCGGAGGTTTTGGAGTCAGGCAGCGTTTAAAGCAGCTAATGGTTCCCACCAGGAGCTCGGTGTCATACCGCGGCCCGGGACGAGCGGATTTACTGCAGCGTGTCTGAAAACAAATGAAGCGTTTCCCTCTGCAGGTCACAGCCAGCCAAGCTGTTTGAACAGGAAGTCAAATATTGCATTTTCACGCAGCAGCTGCTGGCTTCCTGAGCAGATAGTTTTCTATGTAGGCGATCGCAGAGTGGGGACGCTTACTGGCTGAATCATTTAAGGCTTCAGCAGCTCCCTGGAGGAAGCTCCCATTTTATTTTGATAGCAGACTTTGAGCAAAAAAAAGAAAACAGAGCCATGAAAGTCAGTTTACAATCATGTGAAGGAAAGAAAAGGACACACACACACACAGACACACACAGACACACTCACAGACATTAAAGTTCTCACAATCTCTTCAGGGAACAGCTGAATTCCTGCACACACACAAAACCTCCTCCAGCATGCAAACACACACACACACACACACACACACACACACACACACACACACACACGGTATCTCGTATCTCCTAGAAGCCTCCACACCAACAGCACCAGTTACGCCGGTGTTGCATAAGCTCCTCACATCACCTTTCCCGCTCTCTCCCTGATGTCTGTCGCCCGTGGGCGTCCGTGCAGAAAGTCAAAGTCACGATTTGGGAGTTTCTGAATGTCAGCTGATGAACGGTGTGACTGGGCGGCTCGTGTGCGTATGCGGAGGCGACCGGCACTCGAGCGAGTCCATTAACACAGTTTAAGCGACAACTCGGAGGCGATTGTCTCGCTTGCATCATCGCCGACACTTCACGAAGATATAATAAAAGTTCATTCATTGTTTCTTAGAATAGCTTCTGCAGCCTTCAAACAAGCACAGAGATCCTGTGAGAGCGTAAGGGACCAATCTGGCAGCGTGGAGCTGAAGCACGGCTTCTGTGGGTTTCTGTGGGCACTCGAGCAGAACCACGCTGGCGTGGCGTGGCGTCCATGCCGCTGAGAGCAGCCATGTTTTCACTCATGATGCTTTGTTGACCTCTTATTCTATTTAAAGGAGCAGTTCAACTCAGACGTGCTGCTTCTGCCCGGCTGTGGTGATGTGAGGTGTTTTGAGGGTTTCAGCTGCAGGTTTCTGCTTCTTTCTTAGTTTTCTCACAAGCTCATAAAAATCCACAGTAGCTGCATGTTTGCAGCTTTAGGCTGGAGCCAATCAGAGCTGCTCGGTGACGGCCGAGCTGCGGACAGACGCTCGTTCACATCTGCGTGCAGAAGCGATGGGAAACGCGCCCGTCGTCCTTGATCTCATTCTGTGAGCTGTAAAATCAACTGTCATAAAAAGCATGAAGTTTTCTTATCACGAGTCCAGAAGCAGCCAAAACATTCCTGCACTGTAATTTCTCATAGAAAGCTGCAACATGTGTGAGTCTGAGAGATAAACAAGTATCTGGACTGTAACCGAATGCTTTCTTTGCTACAGCGCACAGGGTTAAACCCGGCTGTAGGTCATGTGACCGTGTGGTCAGATGTGTGGATGCTAAAGACGACAGTATGGACGACTTCTGCACCGTTTCCCTAAAACCAAAGAAAAGTGAATGGAGTTTGGTTGGGCAGCGACTTTGAGCTTTTCCGTCTATTTTCTCATGAACTAATGTAAGAAAAGAATTTGCCACACGCGTCACATGATCGTGCATGAGTGGGTGGGTTTGAGGCATCCGAAGCATTGTTGCCATTAAATGGGAAAAATGTCAGGAATGTGCAGCTTCTGTGGATTTTGGAAAGCTTTTACTGTCAGAATGGAAAAAAGGAAAAAGAGCAAAAGAAGCGTTGACACAAAGTTGGACACGTTGGTCTGAAGCATCACTGCGAGCTGCTGCTGCTCAAAGAAGAGCGACAGGTGAGAGCAGGTGGGCGAGCGACAGGTGGAGCAGCAGAGGAGGCGAGAAAGGAGACGCTCGTTTACACTCTGCGACCTCTGCGAGCCTTCCCCTCGCATCACGCTCTGTCTGCTCGCCGCTAATCCCCTCCATCTACACGAGCGCATTGAGGACACACACACACACAGTTAGGTTCAGTGTTTTCCTTTGATTTACTTAAAGTCTCATCAGAATAAAGATAAATATAAGGTGGAGTCAGAAGACGCCAGAAATAGCTTCTATTTTATTTAAGAAACTCAATGAAAGTCAACAACATCGTTTAAACCATTAAACACCAATTTAGATCCTGACAGACTGATTCTAGAAACGCTTTTACATCATATCAGCAGCTCGTTCAACACCCACTGCAAACCTAATACGGAGCTCAAACCATCAAATGTCGGCTTCAGATTCACAAAACCATCTCATACCTGACTGTAACCATCAAACACGGAGCATTGATAACCATTTCACACCAGCGTTACACCACACGCTGCCCACCAATGACGACCGGCTGCTGCTGTGGCTGCTCGCTCGCTTCTTAGGGTTTGGGGGTGGAGCTGTGTTTGGGTTAAACTCTGACGGTTCAGCAGGAATCTGACAGTCAGGAACGATAAACTGACCTCTGAGTCCAGCAGCGTTCCCTCCCCTCCATCGGCGCGGCGTGGAGATTATTATGACTGTGACTTGATTTATCAGACCAAGCTAAACAGACTTCCTGCCAACACGCAGCACAAACACGGTTTGGTATGTTGTTAAAAGGACGGCTGGTTTATTATAAATCTTATTAAATCCTCTCTAATCCCCTCTGTCACCCACACGGGGGAGAGCTGACCAGTGTTATCGTGTTATTGGACACCTGGAGGTCAAAGGTCACACTTCATGACGGCATTTATCTGTTTTACTGAAACCACAAACACAAACTCCAAACCTAATCCCATCACAAAAACACTCAGGTCAGCACTTAGCTTAGCAGCGCCACAAAAGGAAAAAGCGCCGCTCGGAGCGCCGCTCGGAGCGCCGCTCGGAGCGCCGCTCGGAGCGCCGCTCGGAGACCTGCTGTGAGGGAACAGCCATCGCAGTTTGAGCTCCACTTTGTCACACTCACACATATTCATGTTCTACAGGTACAAGTCAGGAGCCAGCAGATTAAAGAGGGCGTTGGCCTTCAGAGGAGGCGGGGCCTAACCTAAACCACTAAAGCTGGATTTGACCGTTGACACGTGTGAGTGGACACACCCTCCTTCATCATATCATCCTCTGTCCCCCATGTTTACTCACACACACACACACACAGTGCCCATGTTTGGACAGATGGGTACTGAGTGTGTGTGTGTGTGTGTGTGTGTGTGTGTGTGTGTGTGTGTGTGGGGTATTTACAGTGTGTGCTGAACCACAGAGCCACACTCTGGAAGCGTCGTGTTAGCGCTCCTGCAGCGTGTTTCATTCAGACTAAAGCAGCCGGCTCTGACACCTCAGACGCTCCTCCTGCTCGATGCCCGGAGCGCTGCGGAGCCTCGTAGCGTGAAGCGGCGGCCTGTAGAAGCTCGATC